ATTAGATTCGTCTCGATGAGACGAATCGAATGGTAGTAAGATCATCAAAATCTGATCACTAGATCCCGAGATATTCGCAATTTCGCACTATTATGCAAATTTCGGAATTTCGGAATACGTAATTAATTACGATTTCGTAATTTCGGATTTCGGATTTGCCAATTGAATTTCGGAAACAACTATACTCAAGATCCTATTACAAAAGAATATATTATGGTTATTGAAAATGAATATTGCGAGAAATGTAATGAAAAATACACATCTACTTTCAATAAGTGGTGGTGTAAATCATGTCAAATAAATGATTTAAAAAAAAATTTTACCAATTGGACTAGTAGAAATATAACAATCGATAATTTCATTCAAATGATGCAATTAAAAATTAACTCCCGCTATGATATAATATTTGAATGGATACCATATAATCAGTTTAGTAATATTAAAGAAATAGGCAAAGGTGGTTTTGCTACAATATATTCAGCAACATGGAAAGATGGACCATTATCTTATGATTGCGAATATATAAGAGATAAGAAAAAAGTTGCTTTAAAGCAATTATACAATTCAGAGAACATTACTATTGAATTTCTAAATGAGGTATGAATTTTTTCTTTCATTTAATTTATAACTTTTAATAATCATTAACAATTATTATGTTATAACAGGTTAAAGGATATTCTATTGGAATATTTAAGTATGTTCTTTCAATATATGGAATATCTCAAAATCCTGATACAAAAAATTATGTTATGGTTCTTGATTATGCGGAAGGTGGAGATTTATATAATTGGGTAAACAAATATTATAATAAACTAGATTGGTTATATAATATTAAAGCATTGTTAAGTATTATAGAAGGTCTCGAAATAGTTCATCAGGAAAATATGGTTCATCGTGATTTTCATACAGGAAATATATTATCAATGTATAATACCTTAGATAATTATATAATATGCGTATCAGACATGGGATTATGTGGAAAAGTTGATAGTACAGATAAAACGGAAATTTATGGAGTTATGCCTTATGTAGCTCCTGAAGTGTTGAGAGGAAAACCTTATACTCAAGCGGCAGATATATACAGCTTTGGTATGATTATGTATTATGTAGCAACTGGCAGGAAACCTTTTTGCAATTGTGCGCATGATGAAATTTTAGTGTTAGATATCTGCAAAGGAATTAGGCCTGAAATAAACGAACCAGAAGCACCAAAATGTTATATTGATTTAATGAAGAGATGTTGGAATTCAAATCCAAACAACCGACCAAAAGCAACTGAAATAAAAGAATTAATTGAGTTATTTTATGATTCTTATAGCTCCAATTTGAAAAGTGAAAAAGATGAGCTGTTATCTTTTGATATTAATGAGCAATTTGAGAAAGCAGAAGAATACAAAGAATCAAATTTCTTATTTTTAGAGGAAAAAAGACAATCGGCAACTCATCCACAAGCTGTTTATACATCTCGATTACTTAATCCCTTTACAAAAGATCTTCCAAAATATGATCTTAATTCTGAATGTTTAGACTGTGAATTATTTATATCAAGCAATAATTTTATTTATTACAAGCAGTTAAATTAAAATGAGTTGAAATTAAATTAGGTAATGTCCTTAATATGTATGATGACTTAAACTGACTCAGCATTTATCAGTATTATTCTATTTTATTCTTATAAACTTGTATATTTGATTTGTTCAACACTGATTATAGTATTCATGTAAACTTTTTTTCATAAATAAATCAGTTTGTAATTGAGCAAATAGTTTTTTTACAAATAGAATCAAATAAATCAAATAAACTATAAAATTTCCAATTTATAATATTATTATAAAAAAAAAAAAAAAGTAATTCGTTAACCTGTGAATTTATATACTTTTAACATACTAACGCCCTCTGATGAAAAAAATTAAATAAATATACATATTAAAAATCAATATTGTACAATCGCTAAAAAAGAAGATAATTATTTACTAATATACAATAATGAATAGTTCAATATTTTTTTGCTTAAAGTATTATTCTTGTATGAAAATAAGTGATATTGAAAATATTATTTTGTCCACATGTTATTAAATAATATGAAAGAATAGACAAATTTTATCAGTTATCTCATGATCGAAAATTAAAAACAAAATCAAAATAATGTTTCAAATAATTTTTATTTTATTTGAGATCAAATTTAATAATTCAATTTTTTTTAAAAAAAATTTGTATATCAATTTATTAATTCTTGAGATGCCTTGAGAAAACCGCAATTATATGTGAATTTTTACGTTTAAATTATTGTGGTAGTCTCATTATGTCATCACAATTACTGTCTTTTTACTTGTATCTTAATAATCTTATAAATAGAATGTATTTCAATATTTATAATTCCATATTTTTGTGATTTAGGTGATTCAATAATTAATTTTCTCACATCTGGATTCAAACTACGAGTACGGTTATCAAAAATTTTAGATAATATTTTATACACAATTTATAGTATGCTTTTAATTTATTTATGTAACAATATATATAATGGTTACAAATTTCGTTTATAATGAACAATTCAAAATCATTTTATACTTTCTTTTGTTTTTTTTTTATAGAACCTACTAATAGTTTAAATAGTTTATCAATTTTTGTGATACCTTAACCTATTATACACGGGTAAATTAAGTTTTAAGCCTTATACCGGTTTATTATTGGTGCAATGCTTTTACGATAATATGAATATTTGAATAAAAAATTAGGTGTGATATAACGCCGCCTTAATTCCGAATTATTTGGATAATTGCACCCTATGTATAACATTAACCGATTAATCGTCTTAATCAATTACGAACTCTAAATTCTATAAATTTCGCTTACGCTATTTATTTTTATTTTTATTTTTATTTTTAATTTTTTATTATTATTTGAATAATTTCATAAATTCCAAGATCAGGATTCTAAATAAGTATTCTCTTCTAAACATAGCAGTATAGCATCAACGGAATAAACAATATTATCAATAATATAAACTGAAGTGATAGTGTATAATTCACAAATGATGAAATATTGATGATTGTCCAACTATATATGTTAATCACATATTAGAGAGCGTGGCGAAGTCCGTTTCGTCCTAAAATTTTGTGCTATAAAACGATAAAAATAGAATAATAGATGGTACAATCGCTCCGGACTCATAACGGTTTCCGTTTCCTAGTAATATTGAATAGTAACAAAACATATTATTTGTTAAAAAACTTATCGCATATCTATATAAAAAAGGAAAGGGAAACGGTGGATTTTAAACATTAATTAACTCAAAGAAATAAAACAAAATTAAAAAATTAATATTACATGTATTATTTCGAAAATATATCTATAAAAAAAAGCATTGTGCGACCGTGACGTTAAGACTACCCTGCATAAAAAGGTGGATTTAAATTGGATCGTCCAGCATCATGTGTCTGCTCCCTGTGCTACAGATTGTTATACAGCAGGATTCGGAGTGGCATCATTTGACATTGATTAGCTTAATTGGGCAGCTCTAATCCCAATACAATTTTGAATTAGGCTGCATAAATGATTGGCGCAAAAACAAATTATAGGAACTAATCCAATTTGTAATTGTAATATAAAATATAAAAAATTTATTAAGCTATAAAAATAATTTAATCGTAACAATGAAATTCTTCACATGAGAAATCATCATTGTAATCATCATTGTTTTCTTTAAAAAAAAATTTGTTTTTGGATTTTTCCATATGATGATTTTTTTTTTAAAAAAATATTTTTCAGTTTCTGAATTTTCCCACACGACAAAAAAAAATCCCTTTCTTTTAAAAAAAAATACACCTTTTCTTTTTACATTTAATTTTTAATTTCTAATTCCTGCACAGCTCTCAAAGTAGAATTTTACCCAGGGAATTGAACATTTCTAATAACAGCAATTACAGGTATTAATAACTATGCAAAAAACCAAAAAAAAAAACCAAAAAAATAAAGTCTTTTTCTTTTTAGGTTTCAGTAGTTTTCTTGGTTTGTCTTCAAATGCGTGGAAATTTGGTAAGGAAGGATTTAGTAATACATTTCTTTTAATCAAACATTTCTAACAGTTTGATTTTTTATTTTTTTAGATGAGGAATAATTTGTACACGAACAGAATTGTGGTGAGTATTTTTTCTTTGAAAAATTTTTTAACAAAACATTTACTAACATTATGTTTCTTCCTTTTTTATATGGTTTGTTCGTGATTCTGGACGTATGAAATTTTAGTGGGTTTTTTTAAAATGCTTCTTTTAACATAATGTTAGTTAACAAAATGTTTACTAATATTTATTTTTGCATTCTGTAGGGTGGCTCTTTGGATCTTTCCAGACATGGAATTTGTAAGTGTTTTTCATTAATTTTTTATTTCTTAATGAAATTAAACATTAACTATTTCGTGTTCTATATTTTGTAGTTTAGACAGTACTGCAACATCTTGGACAGATGTAAATTTTGGTAAATAAAATTTTCCTAACATTATTTCTTTAACAAAACATTATTGATGTTTCATTCTTTTATTTTTTTTTAGTAGATGATCAATTTTTGAGAACTTTGAGTAAGTTCTGAAAATGAATTTTAAACTTTAAAAAAATGTCACTAAGTTAACTTTTTTTTTTGTAGGGAACCACCCTTTTCTCTTTTTTAGGTTTTAGTGGTACCTTTCAGAGTGAAGGTTAGTTTGAATTATATTTTAAAAAATTCTTTTTCGTAATTACTAATCATTTTTTCTTTTCTTTTTTTAAAGTTTGGTACCTTTTTTTAGGTCTAATGATTCTTTGGATGTTTTTTTAGATTTTCCCAGCTTCCTAATGAACCACTATAACTATTATAATAACTATTATAATAAAAAAATGTATTGCATATTATTTATATTTTATTATTATTTTATTTTGTCAATGTAATGTAAAATCACTTGCCATACACAGCCTATGGATTCCCTATTTACCACAAAATTCCAAATTAATGCTAATAACCATTCTAGACTTTATATAACAGTTTAGCAGAAAGGTATCTGATTTTCATAATTTTAATTAGCCAGGCCCGCGTGAAACGCGGGCATCCTGCTAGTAAATAAATAAAAATAATGCCAAATAAAGAGAAAGAAGCATTTCCAATTGATAGATTTCATTTGAGGACCCCGAAAAGTATACATGAAAAGGTCAGTTTCGAGTTTGCGTACAACCAGCCAAAAAAATTCTCTCCTCTTAAATATTACTGGTGAAAATTTATCGCTTTGTAGATTTTTTTATATATATTATGGGTATCATTTGTGATTTCTTACAAAATTAAGTAAAAATATTGTTTTTTTTGTTTATATGAATGTAAAACAAATTATGAACCAATATATGTAATCTCCATCTTAATACACTTACATTTTAATTAAGACATTGACGAGGTGTTACTGCGTCACATAATCACATTTCCGTTTTACAATTCCGTTTTACAAGTTTTTACAGGTGATCCGAACTGGTAAATATTTTACAAATTTCTTAGTTTGTAATTTAAATAAATCTTTTCTAACTTTTCCAATTGTTAAATATAAATTATCAAATAATAATCATTTCCAATGAATAAATTAAAATAAATAATTAATGTAAAATTTTTATGACCATTTCAATAGCTGATTGTATTTAATTTATGGTGTTGGCTTTTATTTTTAATATTATTTAATATTTTGGTTAATATAGGAACTACACCAAGGACATCTACTAGATTATATGATGCATTAGTAACTAAAGTCTGCCAACTTTATATTATTTTGATGTACAAGTATGCTAAAATGAATATATATATTGGTTTATTGCTTGATAAAAAAAAATCAATATAAAATAAATTATTATATTAACAAATCACAATTCCCTTATTATGCAAACATTTTTACAGAATTTGCAAGTTTTAGTGCTAATTTATATTTATCATTCTATTTGAGTTTATTAAAATTCTCTTTTAAATAGAATTGTGGTAATTCACAAGTCACAACCAGCATACTCTATAACCAATAAATATTTGTTTCATTTGAGGACCCGAAAAGTATACATGAAAAGATCAGTTTTGAGTTTGCGCCAAAAAAATCCATTCCTTTTTTAAATAGTTACTGGTGGAAATCTATTGATTTGTAAAATTTTTTTGGCAGTCTCTGATTTTTTTTTATATACAGTATATTTCTCATTTGTGATTTCTTACAAAATTAAATAAATAAATATATTTATTTATTTATATGAATATAAAACAAATTATGAGTTAGTATATGCAAACCTCTATCTTAAATATACTTGCAAAAGAAATTTTTAATAAGAAATTGGCGATTTTCGTCAGGTGTTACTGTGTCACATTTCTGTTTTACAATTCCGTCTTACAGTTTTACAAGTTTTAACAAGTGATCTGAGCTGAATGATTACACAAGGAAGAGTAATACAAGAACATAATAAATAATAATTAATGGTCTTACAAACTGTTTTAAAATAGGTTCTTTATTACTTTCCTTTTTTTCTTTTTTTTTTTTGTGAAATAAACTCATTTACAATTTCTCTCAAAATTTAAATTAATAATTTTGTATAAATGTCATATCAAGACAACTACGGTCAGTGCAAAAAATGTGACGAAAAATATAAGAGTAAATATGATGCAAAGTATGAATGGTGTAAATCATGTCAAATAAATAATTTAAAAAAGAATTTTATAAATTGGACCAGTGATAATGAAAAAATTGATAATTTAATTCAAGAGATGCAATTAGAAATTAATGAATTGGATGATTTAATATTTGAATGGATACCATTTGATCAATTTAATAATATTAAAGAAATAGGTGAAGAGAGTTTTGATAAAGTATATTCAGCAATATGGAAAGATGGTCCATTAGATTATGATAAATATAAAAATGAATATACAAGAAATCAGCCGAATAAGAAAGTTGCTTTAAAATTATATAACTTAAAAAATATCATTGATGAATTTTTTATTGATCAGCCAGATCAGGTAATAATAAAATTTCTTCGTACCCCTAATTATTGTATCTTTTATTAAGAATATTTTTTATTTTTCGTCTATTAGGGCAAAAAATATTCGATAACATATATTGGCGAAGTTCTTAGAATGTATGGAATATCTCAATGCCCAAATACAATGGATTATATCATTGTTTTTCAAGAAATATATTGTAAAAAATGTGGTAAAAAGTATACAAATATAATTAAAGAATGGTGTGAATCATGTCAAATAGTTTATTTTAAAGAAAATTTGGTCGGCAGTGGAAATGAAAAAATTGATAATTTAATTCAGGTAATGCAATCAGGCGTCAATTATGAATCAGCATGGGTACTTGAATGGATACCATACGATCAATTAAGTGATATCCATAAAATAAATAAAATAAGTGATGATGATATTGATACATTATATTTTGCAAAATGGAATGATGGCCCATTATATTACAAGAAGAAATGGGCAAGAAAATCTAATAAAGTGGTTACTTTAAAATATTTTTATAATTCACAAAATATTATTAAACTTTTAAATGAGGTATGAATTCTTTGGATTAGATGTACCGTAATTTGAAAATATTCTTTATTAATTTTTTTTATTTTTAATAGATTAAGTTTGATAAATGTCTTAATATATATGGAGTGTCACAAAATCCAGATATGGGAGACTATATTATAGTTTTTCCAAAGTTATATTGTAAAAAATGTGATAAAAAATATAAAGGTAGATTTGATGCAAATTATGAATGGTGCTTATCGTGTCAAACGAATAATTTAAAACAAAATTTTACAAACTGGACCAGTGGAAATGAAAAAATTGATAATTTAATTCAAGAAATGCAATTAGAAATTAATAAACTAGATGATATTATATTTGAATGGATACCATACAACCAGTTTAATGACATTAAAGAAATAGGTGAAGAAGGTTTTGATAAAGTATATTCAGCAATATGGAATGATGGTCCATTAGGTTTTGATAAATATAAAAATGAATATACAAGAAATTTGCAGGATATAAAGGTTGCTTTAAAATTATATAGTGGATTACTAAATGAGGTATATTTTTCTTTATTTAATTTAAATACTTTATTTAATATGGTAATAATAATTAAATTTTATACTTTAATAGATTAAGGAAGACTTAAATAAATATTATGGTAAAATATTTGGAATCTCTCAAAATCCATACACGAAAAATTATATTATAGTACTTGAAAATGGATTTAGTAGAATATGCGAAAAATGTGGTGAAATTAAAGAATATATTTGTTTATTGTGCTACAAAAATTATTTGAAAAAATTTTTATTTAATTGGAGTGGAAATGAAAAAATTGATAATTTAGTCAAACAAAAGCAGTTGAAAATTAACTTTTTTATAGATATAATATTTGAGTTTATACCATACAATCGATTTAATGATATTAAAGAAATAAATAGAACTAATTGTACAATAATATATTCAGCAGTATGGAATGATGGTCCATTACTTCATAATAATAAGAAATGGGCAAGAGAATCAAATAAAAAAGTTTCGTTGAAATTATATAATTTACAAAATATTGATGAATTCTTAAATGAGGTATTAAAACTTTTAATTTCTTTTTTTTTTGGAAAATATTATAATTTATTTTTTTTTTTGTCTTTATAGGTTAAAAAATATTTATCAAGAAATGATAATCCAGTATATGGAATATCTCAAAACCAAGATTTAAAATATATTATTGTTTTTCAATATGATTTGTGTTGTAAAAGTTGTGGTGAAGAATATACAGAAAATAATTTTAAATTTGAATGGTGTAAGAAATGTCAAGTAAATTATTTAGAATTAAATTTTAAAAACTGGACCAGTAATAACGATAAGATTGATAATCTGATCCAAAATATGCAATTGAAGATTAATAGCAAATGGGATATGGTATTTGAATGGATTCCATACAATCAGTTTAGTAATATTAAGAAAATAAATGATGATTTTACTAGAATATATTCGGCAATATGGAAGAATGATTTTTTATATTATGATAATCTTTATAGTAAAGATCAGATAAGAAGACTGAAATTAAGAGTTACTTTAAAGTACTCACAAAATATTATTGATGAGGTAATTTTCCATAAATTCTATTTAAATAATCATGTTATTCATATATATATATTTTTAATAATAACATTTAATGTTAATAGGTTGAAGAATATTCAATTAGTAATATATATGGAATATCTCGAGATCCTAATACAAAAGATTATATTATAGTAATTGAAAATAAATATTGCGAAAAATGTGATAAAGAATATACAGATACTTATTATAAATGGTGTAAACCATGTAAAATAAATGATTTAAAAAGAAATTTTACAAACTGGACTAGTGAAAATATAAAAATTGATAATTTAATACGAGAGATACAATTAAAAATTAATAATGCAGATGATACAATATTTGAATGGATACCACACAATCGATTTAGTAATATTAAAGAAATAGGTAAAGGTGGGTTTGCTACAATATATTCAGCAATATGGAAAGATGGACCATCATCTTATAATGAATATGAATATTCAAGAAATCAGAAAAAAGTTGCTTTAAAACAATTATACAATTCACAAAATATTACTATTGAATTTTTAAATGAGGTATGAAATTTTTTATCCAATTTAAAACTTTTCAATATAATAATAATTATTATTATACTTTAATAGATTAAAGGATATTCCATCAAAGAACTTAATCATGTTCTTTCAATATATGGGTTATCTCAAAATCCTAACACAAATGACTATATTATGGTTCTTGATTATGCAGAAGGTGGAAGTTTATATAATTGGGTAAACAAACACTATAGTAAATTTGACTGGTCATATAAAATAAATACATTATTTAATATTATTACTGGTCTTGAAGAAATTCATGAAAAACAACTGGTTCATCGTGATCTTCATACAGGAAATATATTATCAATGTATATTACCTTGGATAATTATAATTTAATGTGCATATCAGATATGGGATTATGTGGAAGAGTTGACAATACAGACAAAACAAAACTTTATGGAGTTATGCCTTACGTGGCTCCTGAAGTGTTAAGAGGAGAACCTTATACTCAAACAGCAGATGTATATAGCTTTGGTATGATTATGTATTTTGTAGCAACAGGAAACCAACCTTTTTTCAATTGTGCGCATAATGAAATGTTAGCATTAGATATCTGTGAGGGAATTAGACCTGAAATAAATGAGCTAGAAGTACCAAAATGTTATACTGAATTAATGAAGAAATGTTGGAATTCAAATCCAGATTACAGACCAAAGGCAACTGAAATAGTAGAATTTATTCAGTTATTTCATGAATCCTATGTGCCAGATTCAAGTTTGTTATTTGGAGAAAAAAAACAGCAACATTATGATATTGAGCAGCAATTTAAAAAAGTAGAAGAATACAAAAAAACATTTTTTGAGGAAAGAAGACAATCAATTACTCATCCACAAGCTGTTTATACATCACAATTACTTAATTCCTTTACAAATGATCTTCCAAAGTATTCTGAATGTTTGGACTGCGAAATATAGAATTGTTTGTTTATTAAAAAAAAATGCAAATATTTATATTTGAAACAATGAAATGGATCAGAATTAAATTTGCTGAGAAAATTCAAAAGTTCTTGGTGTAAATGATAATATACATACTGTATATGCCAATGATTATAGATTACATGTAAACATGAATAGATCAGTTTGTAATTAAGCAAACAGTTTTTACAAATAACTGAAATAAGGCAATTTTTATTATTTAATAAAATAAAAAAGAACAACTGAATAACAGAATATTAATATTGTGAAATACCAGAAATTATGGTGATAAATAAATGTCATTAATTGACTTGTGATTTTTAAATATTTTGAACATTTTAACAATCTCATTACTTGAAATGTTCATATAGTAAATAAATAAATAAATAAATTTGTATACTAAAAATTAATATTTCAACAACAATAACAAAAAAGAAAAATAAAATTAATTACTGACGTGCAATGCTTTTACAGTACGCTCTAACTTATCAAAATAAATAATATAATTTGTAAATTTTATTTGTCTGCAATTTCATTAAATAAGATGACAAATTCATCGTTCAATTAAATTATCAAATTCATCCAAAAACCATATGATTATAAAGATATAAAACACTTACAGTCAAACCTCAATGTACTGATACCCTATGTACCATGTACTGATAAATTTTCATGACCAATTTCACAATTAATGAAAAAATCTCACCGATATTAAGTATAATTTCGCGATATAACATGGGTTCCTTAATGTACAATGGGGTGTACAATATTGACGTACGAACGGAGTTAACGTTAACGCTATCACGTGAAATGCATAACACCTGAACTTGGGCCAGTTCGTAAGTTAACATCGTACACCCCACTGTACGACTGTACGTTAAGGACGCCCTGTAATATGTACCGTTTGTAGTGTATAAGTATGTACATATACCGATATTTTAGGTTACACTAATATTATTGGTCAACACTTTACCGATTTGGCTGAAGTTATTTAATTTTGCGCCATTTTAATTTCGGTCAGAATTTGATTTTGGCCCAGCACAAATTACCACACTATAGTCTACTTATGACCATGTGTAAAGAATATTTACCGTATAGCACTGACTAAGATATCCCGGGTATAAAAAATTTCGATTTATAAATTATTTTGTAAATGCAGTAAAATGCAACTTATGGATTGATTTCAATATTTCAATACAGTAAATTAAGCAATTATTAAATTTAAAGCTTTTAAAGCTTTTTCACTTACAACAATATCGTATTTTTTAAGATTCTTTGTGATAGATAATTATTGTCAATATGAATAACTATTTATCACCATGTGGTGATAAATATTAAATTTATCATTACGAAAAAGAGTTTACTATACATAGATCTTAGAATTTTAGGCATTATTGTATTAAGAAAATTAGTAGAACAATAATAACCGCTTTTATTGCATTTAATTTCCTCATAAATTCATTTACATTTATTACGTCAAAGATCTGTAACACTTAAAGTGAAAATGTTTTGTTACATTTAAGCTTGGATAAAAATAGATAAAAAAGATTTTTTTTTTTTTTGGAATAAAAAAAGATTACATAACTCCATCAAGAAATTATTATTATCAATTTACCGATCAAATTTTTTTAACGCAAATTTATTATACATTATATAATTTAAAAGAAACAATGTTAAAAAAAATTATGTGTGATATTATTGAAAAAAAGTCCAAAAAAAAAAAATTATACATAGTATGATTTATTTATTGGTTAGGAAACAATATTATTGAAAAAAAATTTAAGAAAACGATTAAGGAAACAATATTGAAAAAAATTATGCGTGATATTGTTGAAAAAAAAAATTCTTAAGTAAAAAATCATCCATATTGTTAAAAAAAATTATTCGTGTGATTTATTGATTGGGAATAATCAATTAACTATTACTTATCAAGATTAGTATCAGTAGAACAGGCTCATTAGTCTAACCAAAAATAATTATTACTAATTACCAATCAAATTGTACCTTATACAATTTTAAAAGAAACAATGTTGAAAAAATTGATATTGTTGATATTATTGAAAAAAAAAATCTCACTAAGAAAAAAAAATTATGCGATATTGTTGAAAAAAAAATTCACTTTATTTATCAAGATTAGTATCAGTTAGTCTAACCAAAAAAATTAACAAATCATAATTATTAATTTTTTTTAATAACAATTTATAATATATCAGATGCAGATTTATCATACGTTATACAAAAATTATTTATCCAGAGTAATCTAAATATCAAAATTTTTGGTTATAGATTATTTAAAAACAGTTTTATATTAAAGTTAAAACTAAAATATACATTATTAAATAAGTATTGCAGTATCATGGAAATATATTTTATCTATAATATATTTATTTTTTTAAAACCAAAAAATTATCTGTGGCTTATTGATTAGAAGCAACATTATTTAAAAAAAAAAGCTTTCTAAGAAAATAATTTCACACAATATTATTGAAAAAAAATATAAGAATGTTAAAAATCTTACTAAGAAAGAAAAATTATGTGTGTGATATTTTTAACTATAAAAATTTGTAATAGATACAGACACAGATATATTATATGTTAGATATTTTTAAAAAAAGTTTTAATAAAATTAAAAAAAAAAATTAAATTACTAAATTATTTATTTATTTCGCTTATTTAAAAATTAACAAATTTCACTATATAATCGCTAGAAAATTCTCTATTTCCAAAACATAACTGAAACACAATAAAATATTATAAAATTCACTTTCATAAAAACATTAAAATAATTAATCTAAGTAGGTAAATCCAGATGTAATTAAGAATATTTACGTTTAAAATAAGTAGCATCACAACTACTTCCTATTTCATAAACCCATAATATATTACAATTCTAAAATTCTATTTTACATATAATATCATATTAATAAAAAAAATAAACTACATTTATTATTTTATATACATATTATTGCATACTAGACAATCTACTAATATATTTAAACCTGGCCGGCCCTAGCACTATGAGTCTAGTTAATTAATGATAAAAAAATTAATACACGATGTAAAGTATGTATTTATTATCTAACTAATCTAAGCATTATTTTTGCAAACATGATTTACATCAAAATATTACATTTTTGTGTTACTTGTTACTTGTACGTCAAATACTGCGCAAAGTATAATTTATATGTTCAGAAAGCGAGTAAATTTAGAGTTCAAGATCGTAGCATAGGCCAAAAGGTGAGATCTTTGACCCTTAAAGCTTCATCATGTTTGCGTATTACCAGTTCACTAAAGTGAACAACATCACATTATATCGGCATATCGTTTTATTACTTTTTCAAATTGTAACTGCGCATAAATTATCTGACTAAATATTTGTAGTATTCTTTTATTGTGATCGAAATGTAAAAAAACATGTTACAAGACATTTCTAAAATTTTAATTTCTTCAATATCGTGTCAACTTTTAGACCCATTTCATTAATTTCCAGATCTATCTCGTTAATTTTTAGATCCTACCCTGTTCCATTTCCAACCTCATCAAACGATAAAGCTCCAATTCCATACAATTTTGTATAGCGTACACTCCTGGTTGACCTATCTTTCCATACATCGCAATATTTCCAGCTTTTTCAAATGCTATAACTACCTCCGGTTTTATATGAACATGTAAATGCCCATGACACTCTTTCGCTTGACTATCTTTGGCTTCATCAGATTCCAAGCGTCCAAAATTTAACGCAAAAAGTTCAATTGGATTACTGATACATTGTCCACAAATAGTTTCTGTCAGATATGAGGACATGAAATAACTCAATACCCATTCCCAAAATTTTCCATCTATTACTAAGTCCTTATTTGTTTTATGATTGTCAGGTTTATGAATCATGCCATACATTGGATTAGAACATATAAGAATATCCCGAACATCATCTTGATGAGAAACACAAACCCAACCATCCTTTACCAAAACAATACGTTCCTTCTCCACGTACCAGTTGCAGTATCGGGCAGTTTGAAATTGTGTTGGAGTCAATCCCGCGCAAAAAATAGGAGGTTCCGCATAGCTTAAGTTATGGTTCTTACTAGGACGTTCTGTTTTTTGATTATGTTATTTATAGTAATATATTACATCAAAAATGATTGCATAATGATAATACAATTGATTGAACACTCACCCATATTATTGTTTTTATTATTTGTATTAGGAGGTGGATACTTACAATCCGCATGATGCCCACAGTATACTCTAGAAAGTATTGAAATTTTAGTAGATTGAACATATTCAAATGAATTATGTACGCTCATGATGTTGTTTACGTAATTTCTTGCAATTCTTAATGTAAGCGGTAAGTTTTTAGTTACTTGAAGTAGCATATCAAACCATGCAGTAGAATCTAACTGCATAATATATTCCCATTTTTCTTGATTAATAATAGGGCGCAATTCAATTCTGTACGAAACTTGGAAGTTTTTTTCACTTTTAATGAACTCGAGAACCTTTTTCCCCATCTTAGCCAACCCTTCGGCGGGCTTATTATAAGGTTCAGAAATTTTGTTAATAATTCCTACTTTTACTGTTGGGCTTGTCCGCCAATTTAAATCTTTATAAATAGAGTACCATTCATTTTCATCTTCGTATTGATTGATAGATACTAATTTTTCAGAGTGCATGTGTTCGGATACCGGTTTTTCAGAAAATAAATATTTATTAACAGATTTCAGTGTTTCAGAAAATACGTATTTATTGTTAGATGCCAGTGTTTCAGAAGACGTATTTGACAAGGAGAATGCCCTTGACGTTTTCTCCTTAATCTCACTAGCAAAATTCAAGAGTCTTTTTGCAGGTCCGCCAGCCATTCCCAAATCTCTAAGCTCTTCATTGGTCAAGTTAAAGAGGTCACAGCCGATAATCTTCTCCCTGCGAATTATTTCATAGTCATCTTCATCAAGCTTCAAGTCCTTTTTCGTGCACAAGAAATCGATAAGTTCTTTTGTTCCATATTTTTTAATTTCGGTTAATGTGTACCACTCATATCCAGGTGAACTAATTTCAGACATTGATGTTTATAGGGAATATTAAGCTCGGATGAAAAAAAAAGTGTGTTGCGTTATTTTATAACTTAAAATTGGGTAAAATGAGACCAATGGAAATTCGGTATATTTACTCGATGAGTTGTTAAGAAATGAGAAATTTAATGAGGCTTAGTAAACTCGGATGAAAAAAAAGTGGGTTGCGTTATTTTATATCATTATAACAATATAATCAATATATGATTGTTTCAATTTTGTCACTTCTCGATTGGTGACTTGTTATTACGAAATATAGCAAATAAATATAGATAGCATAGTAAAAAAAATTATGCATCATGAATCACTTTTACACGATAAAATTTTCGAAATACATTTTCCCAACAAAGAAAGTACTACTGCTGACAATAATTCCAATAATATGCTTTGCCTTTTATGGTTGATTTGTATGAACGATGGTTTTATTTTAATATCTTTGTACTACGACTTTAGTCTCGTTTCTTTACGTCTCTATTAAATATACAAGTTGTAAGTAAAAAACTTTTTATTATAAATCTTGTTAAATTTTCAATTTAACACTTGTATTTCGTTAGTTTATACATTAAATGGCAAGAGAAGTGCAAAACTATTTTAGATACAGAAGATGAAGAAGGAGTAGAAAGGATGAAAGGTATTTAAATAACAGGAGTAATTTTTAAAATTTTTCCTTTTAAAATATATCTAATATTAATTAATTTAATTATAAATAAAAAATTAAAAAACATGGAATAAAAGTTTAAAGAAATCGAGTCTTATCTTGATCAGGCAATATCAATTGTACATGAACAAACATGCTTTAAACAACCACAGAAGGATAAAAGCAGTGGATAAGAATTTTGATAGGGATCGAAAGCTTATTAATGATATTACAAAGTTTAATAGACGAATTACCAACCCACGAAGTTGGAAAGATAATAATATAAATTCAACAATGTATCTTGAATAATCAAAAATAATTGAATAAATTTGATTTTATTTAGTATTTATGCTGTAATACCGTAACAATTAATGATACTGTTCTGTGTTAGATAATAAGTCCATATAACATTTAATTCCAATAAACCAAATGTACATTTCGTAATTAAAAAAAGCAAGAAAAAAATTATAAGCACTATAGCCAGAATCAAAATCAATATAAAAGCAAAGAAACTTACGTGCGAATTTTTGTCTATCCGTTCAATGATTGTATATTGTAATTTATTAAAGAAAAGCATTCCCAAAGTTAAGATAAGTATGTATGAACTAACGAAATACAAGTGTTTTATTGAAAATTTAACGAATTTCATAAATAAAAAAGTTTTTTATTTAAACTTGTATATTAGAGACGCGTAAAATGGAGACTAAAGTTGTAGTGTCAACCAAAGCAAATTTCAAAATCACGGGATTGATATTATGTGATATGCGACATCTGTGCAAAAATTGCCGGCTGGGGTAGTTGTATTGTAAGGGCTGAAATTACCTAGTGAAATATAAAAGTAAGTAACGTATGGTTAAGTGAGTAGCGTAATGTCACATTTTACTTAAGTTACTTCCCTCAAAAAGGTATGGAGCGTAAAGTGAATTTTAATTACTTTCCCTTTACTTATATTGCAGTATATTTTATTTTTATTTTATTGTTCAAAATGAACAAGGTATTAGTACAAATTACACAGAAATTAAAACTAAATCAAAAGTAATTCTAATCACAAATAACCAAAGCGCTACATGGCGATGTCATCTTGGTAGAAAATAAATGAAAAAGGAATAAAGGTATCCTAAGGACACCTTCCGACCTTTGGACACTAAGGTTAGAAAAAAGGAGGTGAGAAAATAAAAATACTATTTTAAGTTGTAGGAGGATAAACATGAGTGAAAGAAAAATCATAAAAAAAATGAATAAATTTATGTTATCAAAAAGTAAATTATCTTTATGTGATTCCCAAGAACCGAGTGTAAAAAGTTGCTTGAAGTACATCTAATATGGGCAGTAAAATCTATACGTGACTTATGACGGTCATATGGAGACGTAGCCGTACAGGACGATAATAGATTAGGGGTATGCGACTCGGTGATGGACCGAGAATTATTTGAATCCAGTGGGGTTTGTTGAAATAGTGGTGGTAACGTTTCTTTTTCTTGCGCGTTATAGTACTTCGCGTTAATTCCCACTGTTTAAATGCAGTAGCGCGGTCGTTCCAAATACTACGGTCATAGTTTCATAGATAAAATGTTTGAAAGCTTGTACGCGATCCTTACGTTTACCTATGTAGTTGTAGAATATGGCTGTTAATTCAGCCGGGATCAGGTTGTGGAGGCATTTATTCTTTGTTCTAGGTCAAAGGTTGAGCTGTTAGCATATCGTAAAATAGTGTCCAAAGGAAGTTTTTTAGATTTAGACATTAAAAGAGTAATTTTGCGGAAGGGTGGTACAAAGTCCAATGTGATCATTACAGTCATGATGTGCGGAGCATTCAATACATGGTACATGACCTAACGGGTAAAGACGAGGATAATTGCGTGGGAGGATGCCAACTGTTGTAAATGAAGTTATATTTCTTGATACGAGAGTGCGTGAACGTGAAAGGTGTAAATTCGTCGGTGAATCTGAATGGTTATAATTGATCCATATTTTAGTGAATTCCCAATCAATCACGCCTTCGAGGATATGCCGTTCGATGTTTTTCAATGCCGAATTATTAATAATCGAGTTGAAGTTACGTGGTTGGATAACGTTATTGCTCCATTGTCGGACATTGTGATCTATTACGTATATGTTGTTCCATTTGATAAACCCTAAAAAAACTTGATGGAAAAATTTAAAATTCACAATAATAGGGTCTCGTATGTTAGATCCCTTAGATCCCTTTTTAGCCAGCCAATCAGCTCGTTCGTTGTAAGGTATGTTATCGTATGTTTGACTTTTAAGTTAATGTATAGGTGGCGGTTCTCTATATTTAAATCCAGAAAATTAATTCCAAATGAGAAATTGTTTTGTTTTAAACGTCATCTAGGGCTGAAGATCGGAGATTTTTGTCACAATTCGCTGAGTCCGTATAAATGGTGCAGGTACTATTGTAAGGAAGGGTGGTGATTCACTTTTTGTGGATGAGAGTAAGAATACAGTGGAGCCTTTGAATTCAACTTTGAAGTTGTTGGGTAGCATTGTAGCCAGCCATAAGTGTTGAGTGCCGATTTGTTTAACAGATCCATCTGTATAGATGGTGAAATTAGATGCGGACGAAAATTGTGTCGAAATTTCAACTAGTTGGTCTTTCAAGTATTCTTTACAAATGAGAGCTTGGCGAATTTGTCGATGGACGAGTCGTAACGAGGAGGATATATCGTCATTACTTACGGTATGACCGTCGAAAGGGATGATTAATGTTGTTCAAAATTAAAAAATTTTCATAAGCTATGTGTTTTAAGTATGTAAAGGTTTAGTAGCAATAAAATAAGGGGAGATAATCTTTTTGTTGGACAATTTGTGTTCACTAGAACATTTGAATTCGTGTATATTATGTGATATGGTGGGTACCAGATTTCTTGGGTTAAAATGTCTAATTTTTGTAAAGCAACAGGGCGTGTTAAAAAGGGCAGATAATATATTGAGTTGGGATTTTGACTTGAATATCGAAGAAATTGTCGATATGTGGAAAAAGGTTGTTGTATATAACGTTGTCTGCTGTGCTGGTAGGAAGATGTAGACGTAATTTGAACGGCTTTTTGAGAGGTGTTAAAGGTATTGGTACTGTCTGTACGTCAAAATTGTGTATATTATTCCAATTTGAGGGATTATTATTTGTTGATAATATAAGCTATATGATCGTGGCTCAATTTTTTTTGTTTTTCATGGTCATATAGTGAGAGTATATTATGCTGACACCCTTGTTGATGGTTTATTGTTGGCGATCTGTAATGTTAATATAAAGACCTAACCTTGTTTGTTGAACGATATACAGTAATAGCGGCGACATCTTGGTCGTTAATATTTAAATCTATAGTTGGGTGTCATGATGTTGAGTTGTGAGGATTTTGTATTTGTGAAAGTTAATTTGGATTTTGGTAAATTTATAAAAAGAATTAGCGATTGATAATTTGTGGTTGATTTGTTGGATAGACGATCCAAACCAAGTGGTATCGTCTAGATAGCCTACTAATGAGGATTTGAAGTGGTGTTTGATGTTATCTTCTCAATGTTGGATGTTTTTAATTGAAGTGGTTATACACTTGTAATGAAGATGTGATTATATTTGTTGGAGAGCTCTGGTGTTATGGTGAGTCTGGTTCTTTGTCTTCGTAAGAACGCTTTTTTTGTAAATCTTTTGATTATTTGAAGCAACTTTGTGTCTCAATGTTGGTTTGTGTGTTTAGGCTGCCGCAGATGAATCAAAGCAAGAATTTCCTTCATGGTTTTTTGGGTATATGTATAGAGTTGATCCGAATAAGTCCGTTTTCTGAACTTGTTTTGTATCGTGAGGGTAATCATCTTTTGCTACTTATACGTAAGAGGATTTAGTGCAAGAGTTTCTTGTTGTTTGTATAAAGGTGCATGTACGTTCTTTAAGATGATGAGTGATAACAGGTGCTAGGTTTCTGGCATCCGCATTTCCCATTATTTTGTAATGACATGATGTTCTATTTTCATATTCAGGATAATGTTTGGGATTACCGGGTATGAATCTGGCTAAGAAGTTTTTTTCTATGAAGAGGTTCCAGATATCATTTTCATATAGATATTGGACCGCTTTTTCGTGTTCAAATCTGATCAGCAATTGTTTATATTGTGGTTTACGTATGGATGTTCTAGACAGCCTAAAATTAACTTTGGATGTTGAGGCTTGGGTATTGTTTGGTTGTTGTGGAATCTGGGTTTGTTTGTTTTAATAATTTCATTATGATGAATCCTATTTTGTTTTGCTAGGTGTTGTACGATGAGCTTTGCGTCGTAGTTGATTGGTATATCCAATACCTTAATTACACAGTTATCGACATTGTCAAATTTGGACTTTGCAAGGATCTTGACATTAGTGTCTATGTAATCGTAAAATCTTATCGATTTTAGGGACGATTGATGTATTGCTCTTTTTATTCAAGTGTTTTAAATTGGATTACAAAGAATTGATATGATATGTAACTTCGTGTATATACCCTAACAAAATCATTTTCTGTAATAAAGGCGGGTCAAAAATCTCGTGTGTGGTTTGGTCTTTATGGAAGGAGTTCCTCGGAATGTAGGTTTCAAAGATAGTATTGACATGTGGCGATGAATCTGAATTTAGGTTCGGAATTATCATTGTTTGCTACTTCTTTCTCTTTTTGCCTGCTGACCTCCAGGAGTGGAAATGTCCGGATTCTGGCCTTCTATTGGCGTTTGATTTGAGTGATCAGACGTAGTGTCACGTGATTATCTTTTTGCGCAGGGAGTTGAGAAGTTTCGTAAAAGTTTCTATAATATCCTCCATATCGTTAGGAGAGGTTTCAGGGGTGTCTTTCAAAGTGTTATCTAGCCTTTGTAGCTTTGTATTGACGTTACTCTGTTCTTTATCATATGGAAAGTAAGTATCGTTGACGATATATTTGTCTAAATAGGAGGCTGCTCCTTTTGACAAGTTTCTGGCTCTTCTTTTACTAGAGACGTTACTGACGGACATGTTTTTATATACAAGTGGTATATGAAATAAGTGTTTTTGGCGTCGAAAAAGTGATTTTTGTAAGAAAAAAAGGTGTATTATTTAATAAGTTTGTTGACTTTTTGTAATATTTTCTTACTCCTTTTCTCCTTCAGTAACGAGTTCATTTTTTCCGGAAACCGTTTTACGTACTTTACATAATATGGTTTATATTAAAATATTATTTAGTTTGATATAAGAAAATCACGTGATTATTGAATCATTTCACATATTTCCAGTACAAAGCTATATTAAAGAAAATTTAAATTGTATTTTTATAGTTTATTGCTCATCACGCTAAAAATATAAACTGATATGTGGAAAAAAAAAATAGAGATTAATCACTAAAATTAGGACAATATTAAAAAGAAAAAAGAAAAATTTTTATTTTTATAATATATAAATTTATTATTATTATTTTTTTTAAAGAAAAATTATATTTAATATTATTATAACAGATAATGTTTAAAAATTACAATATTTGACAGTGAGATGACCTGTCGGTGAGATGATTCTGTTGTTGTCAGTGAAACATTTGTAATTATTATGAGTTAAATAAATTCCGTCAGGAAAGTGGCATTTTAGGTTATCTTCTGCAATATTTGAGAATTTCGTTGGCCTGGATCCACTTAATGGAAGCTATACCAGCCTGCTCTAAATATTCTTCCAGAAAATTCTACATTCTTTATGTTCAATTCGGTAAAATTGAGAAATTGTTGAAATTTACTGGAATTAATATTTGAGAATGTAATGGTTTCAGTATCATCTACCATATAATTATAAATAAAATTTATTTTTCGCATGATGTCATCAGGAAGAGAAAACTGAGACTTTAGTGTAAAAGCAATTCAAAAGATATTAGAGATCATAGAAAATTAAATATATATAAAAGAGCAGTAAGGTTTGGAAAACAACAAAGCCATATTTGGTATTTCAACAATCATATGAATATATATCATGAACTTCAGTAAAGATTTCACTAATTTTCTTTAAAGGAGAAAATTTATGAACCACTATTTCCTTCAGACTGATACTTAGAGCACCGAACAGAGTTCTGGTTGCGTGGGCCAGGTCAGATTGGATCAGGTAACTGTTCCAACCAGTTTGACGAAAGTATTCAAGTAATGTAAAAAGCCGTTTCGGCGTTTTAATTTTTCACAAAATTAATATGAAAAAACACTGTTTCAGCGGTTTTTTCATTAAATGGGTTACGGTACGTTTCGCCTAATTCCATTTCGCCGGGGAGAAGCCATTTCATCGAAAAGATTTTTCGCCGAAGGGACATTTCGTCGAATAGAAATTCGCTGAATAGATATTTGTCGAATCCTTTTCTCCGAATCATCCATTTCACCGAAATCTATAGAACATTTCGCGATTGACATTTTATCATTAAAAATACACGATTTTTTATTAATAAATATTAAACTATAAACTGAAATAAATATTATTTAAATAATATTTAAATAATATTTTTTAGTAATAATCGTAAATATCATATATATCAATATGAATATTTTGGAAAATATGATATGAAATTTTCGGTGAAACAAAAAGTCCTTCGACGAAAATCCCCTTCGGTAAAATGACTTCGGCGAAATGTGTTTTGGTAAATAGACTTCGACGGATACCCATCAAATAAAATGAGAAACCGCCATTTCTTTCAGAAAATAAAATAAAAGAAGCCAAATGGTGAAAAAACACCGTTTTGGCGATTTTTACATTAAGTAAAATGAAAAAATCGCTATTTTACGGATTTATTCATAAATTAAAATAAGAAATGTCGTTTCGAAAGGGTTTTTCATGAAATCAATATGAAGAAAAAATGCCGTTTCGGCGGATTTTCCATAAAATTAATACCGAAATGGCATCTTTTTCGGATTGGCAAACCGCAAGCACCAACAATTCCTTAAACTCTTTATAAAATTTCATCCAAAATATTCTGAATGTTTAAGCTCTTAGTGCAAATTATAATTTACTTATTATATATTAATTTGTTCAACTGATTATAGATTACATGTAAACTTGTTTAATAGCGTATAGCTTTTACAAATGATGAAATCAAATTTTTATGATACAATAAAATTTAAAATTTTCATTTTATAGTATTAATATTAAAAAAAAAAGATAATAAACATTATGAAACACCGGGAATTATGACAATAAATAAATGTAATTCATTATAAATGTTTTAAACATTTTTAACGTTCCCTTTCTTGAAATTCTCTTATAACAATTAAATATGCGTATTAAAAATCAAATATTTCTATCAAATTAAATAATATTCTTTCATGAAAAAGAGATTTGTCTATATTTTATTAATTTTTATTTCATGATTGGAGATTAAAAAAATGCTGAATATTTCCTATATTTTAAATGACGTACTGTATATTTCTTCTGCAATTTACAGTAGGTATTACCTAAATGGTTATGGTACGATCTACTCATTTGGTTACGGTACGTTCAGATTTATGCAGGTACTAATGATCATACCGTACGCACAACAATGTTTGTATCAATGTTGTAGGTACGGTAATCTTACATTTATTATACAATAACGCTCAAAATTAATTTCAATAAATTTTTAGTAAATAAATTTATTTCCCATTTTTTTTTTACTTTTTTACTTACAAAAGGATCATATTCTAACGGTTCATCAAATTCTTCTACGTAGACATAATTATATATTTATATTTTATTGTTATAATAATAATAATAGTGAAGAAAAAATTAATAAAGAGAAAGAAAAAAATTTTTCGATCAACAAACTCATTATATATAAAAAAAATTTGATGATAAATTATTGTGATTCACAGGTACAAATTGAAAATGTGATCAAAAAGGAGTCTCAAGCGTACCCGAAAACGTAAAATAAATGATCGCCATTAATTATTCGCTTATATCGGTATGATTTTCTATACATAATTGATCGTACATATAACTTACCTTTCAAATAATATCGTACCATAAAATAATATCGTACCATAATTAAATACTATATACTCATTTACAGTCCATATATTTATGCGTCAAAGCATATTTTACTACTGGATAAAATTTGATTAAATATAGTTAGTATAGGAGTCTTAACAAACATTATTAGTTAAAAATACATGAAAAAAAATGGTTCATCGTGATTTTCATGCAGGAAGTATATTAATGAATATAATAATTCGACTTGAAATATTATATACGGTACATCACTAGTATGATTATGTAATATTTTACATTGTAGCAACTTCATTGTGATTTTTATGGAAATTCTCAAATTAGTAAATTTAACTATTTAAGACGTACTTAATTCATTCATATTTGAACAATTATAATTACTTTGTTGTAAATTTTCCATTGTTTAAATTAATAACAATTATAAATTATAAAAATCATTCTATTTTTCATAATAGATTTATAATGAATATTTATGTTTTAATTATTGTATAAAACGCAAAATTTTCTTTGAATCACAAAAAGTTTGTTTTATTAAACATTAAAGAATTCATCTCCAAAATCGAAACTCCTTTCACATGCAATAAAAAAAATCTATAATTAGTTGATATATTTTAAATTTAATCGTGTTCATTATTTCACATGCTAAATTATATTAATTATATTATGAAATCGAATTGATTATTCTAGTCTCCGGAAAATAATTGTATTTTTATGGAATATATTTTACAAAAACAACAAAATAAAGATCTTTTTTTTTCATAATAATATATTTTTACATATTGATGTACAATTATGATGACAATGTGAATTTTAACCCTTGTACTTTTATGGATAATTATTACGTCAAAGGAAAAAACAAAACTAAGGACCGGTTTGTGTATGAAAAATGTGCCATTTAAGTTAATTTAAAATTTTACCCGAATCATTTTATCACATGAATATAACTAAATGAAACAGGTTTCAATTAATTGGGGCGCAGTAAACCAATTAATCAAAATGGGAAAAATGGCGGGCTGAGTAAAATGCACGGCTCTGACATTTTCAATAACGTGTTATTGATGTCAATGAATAAATGTGTAACACAGAATATCAACTAACGCCAAACTCCGTTTAAACTGCATATTTGTTTATCTCTCCCCGTTGATCAACAAAAATTGGTTCGTCCAATTTCGTGAAACTTGATCACCGAACTTTCTTTTCGTTATTCAAAGGTAACACCTCGTTTAAGAAAGCACGCGATTTTTAGGGAGATAACCATGAGACATTTCTTTTTCCAGTTACCCAAATTATTTATAATTCTTAATTTTTTTTTATTTATTTATTTATTTTTTTTATTGATTAATATAAATAATTTTATATATAAACACTAAACGCAAAAATGATTAAGTTAAAATTATTGATTCCTGGAATAATAAAATACGATGAATTCTATCATATCTTTGTTTTGTTGTACCTTGATCTTGTGTAAATATTGAAGAAATTAAATAATTTTGTTTCTTTTTTTTAAGATGTTACATTCCAAACTAAATTTTTTTTTTTTAAAAACTTTTTAATGTAGCATTCAAGATTCCAATAGAAATTTTTGCTCATTTCAAGTCCTTCTTCTTTAATAATAATAAACGTATACAACCAACCTTATCTCAACGTATAATGGCCACTACATCAAGAATTTTGGAATTATATTTACCAACGTTTCTGTTAAAAATAATACTTAGAATGTTAAGTAAGATCGTCCGTAGAGTTAAAGGAAGGCGTTGGGTAAAAAAATTGGATGCGAGTAACGAAAAAGATGAATGGGAAGGCTATTTAATTGCAGAAAATGTTGAACATTCAGAAATTGGAAAAGATGCTGATATGATTATTTTATACGCTCATGGTAAATTTACTTTATACTGTAGTGTTGATTCACTGCGTCACGTTTATCATTAATTCTTTCGTCTTTTATAATAAAATAGGAGGAGCTTTTGTTTTTGGTGATGCTTTATTACCCTTGGAAATGTTCATCGATTGGATTAAAACATGGAAATTAAATCATGGCGTTAACACACAGATATTGTCTTTAGAATACAGTAAGCTAAATTTAAGATTTATTAAATTAATAATTATAATATAAGTTTACTTAATATTCATAATTTACTTGATAGGATTATCACCAAAGTATTCATTCCCGGCTGCAAGAGATAATATATTAGCGTGTTATCAATGGCTTGTCACGGAAAAGAATATTGATCCATCTAAAATTGTTTTTGGTAACGTATCTTAATAAATTATTTTTTTTTAAAAAAAAAAATCATTACAAATTTTAATTTTTTTTTTTTTTTTTACATTAAATTTAGCTGGTGATAGTGCGGGTGGAAATTTGGCTATAGTTAGTGCAATTTACCTTGTTAATAACCCATATTTATATTCGATCGATCCACCTGCAGCTATTGTTTTATTATCACCTTTTCTTTCTGTAAGTATAATCGTTAAAATTATTTAGTTTTCATTATATTTTAATTCATATTTTAAATTATAATTTTAATTTTTTTAGGGAATGTTGAATACCAAATCAGTCATTGATAATGCTTCATATGATAGTCTAGATCCTACTTGGTTACACCGTTGTATGGATGCATATATAGGCGACTCAAATCTTCTTCCATCTTGTTCAATGGTTTCTCCCGTATTTGAACATCAACTTTCAGGTTTACCAAAAGTATGGGCTTGTGCAGGAGGTTACGAAATATTGTTGGATGATATTAAAAATTTTATTGGAAAATTGATCCAAAATAATGTAAAAGCAGAATTGGTTATAGAAGATACTAATTTTCATGATTATGCTGTAGGAAAAGCAACAAGTAGAGATGGTGCATATGAAAGATCTATTAAATATATTGGAAAGTTCTTGTATGATTAAAAATAGTGAAATTAAACTAATAACTAAATCCGTAAAAATAGAGTTAATAGAAAAAAAAAAAAAAAATTTTTATATATATTATATAGACTTTACCTATCACCAAAAGTATTGTTATATATTATTAATTAATTATACATTAACGTTAATAAAAAAAATTTAAATATCAGTTAAAATAAATATATTCTACTGCGTATATAAAAATTTTGGCTAATTATATCAACAAAAGACCAGATTCTCGATGCGCAAAATTTTTGAAGCGCAAATCAACGTTGAGATGATTATTGTTATATGTACTGTAACTTTTTTTTAATAAATAATATCGTAACGAATTTTCCAAATTCTGTAGCATCAAATCAAAAACTGATCTATGAAATTGTTGCAATTAAAGATTACACGATATCGTTTTATGAAATTAGATATTAGGAATTTTTCATATACTTTTTTTCGTTATAATATCATAAATAGAAAAAAAAATTTTTTCTTTTTACGGAAATAATGACGTTCATAATCGTAAAATTTTCTAAAGATCTAAAATTATTAAATAATATTTCGTCAATGAATGTATATTAACGTTGGAGTTCGATTCGATAAATTATATTTAATTGACGTTTTTTCTTAACTGATACGGCTTTGATTTTATTATTTGAATTAATATAGTAAGTGTATCATCAATTTTTTCATGACTTTTTCGCTACACATTTATTTTGTTATCGGTATCCTTTTAATAATAAGCATGGCAATCAAGTTATAGGAACATTTATAATTTTAAAAATTGCTTACTCATAACTTTACACAATAAAGCCACCCATTTTGTTTCACTCCTCTTTGAGTGAAAAATTTTGATCCGAGAGGTTATTTAGTATTTCTTAATTGCGCTATGAGCTGCGGTTCCAATAAAAAAAAAATCACGTATTTTTGTGGTACATAGAGATATTATTGAAAGGGCCATAATTGTAAAATTACTTCCTTAATAGGACATTTATATAATTCACATTGGGAATAGGCCTCAAAATCGCATGATGATTAATGAACAATGAAATCTAATGATAGTATTATAATCCTTTATTCAAAAAAGCTTTACCCGCTCTTAAATTTATAATAATAATAAATTCTACCCAATTTTGTGTGAATAATAAAAAATTTTTGTTCTCTAAATAAGATAAAAGAAAGAGATAAATAATAATAAGTTTAATATAATCCTTACTAAAAAAAAAAAAAAAAAAAAAATACATGTAATAATTATAATTGTAATATGCATCTAAATTTTTTTGATTCGTCTGTGCACATTATTAAACTCGATTCGTATTCTTAAAAAGAAATTTATAATTACATTTTTAAAATTGATTTTCAGTTAATTAATGAAAGTAATTTGGACAAATGAAGTTACACAATTTATCTTGGCGTTAAATTTCTTTTTTCTTTTTCTTTATTCTTTTAGTTAGCACATGTACTGATTGTCTGATCGTACTGTAACAGTAAAAATAATTGTTGTACATAACTTTTAAATGTAGATCTGAAATGAAATTTACTTAATATAGTATATCAAAATCAACCTGAAAATTTCAATCATATTTCCGTGATGAATACGTTGAATACGTTACACTAGTATTACATTCGAAAAAAAAACACGGGATCAAATCAGAATAAAGTCGCGATCTTTTCGATCTTTTCACTGAAAAAAAAAAATTATACTTCAAAATTTATTGACACCAATGGAAATAAAAAAAATTGAGCATGATACTCCTTATGATATATTTGTATGGATACCATACGATCAGTTTGATAATATAAAAGAAACGAGAGAAAGAGATTATCCAAATAAAGTATTTTCAGCAATATGGAAGAATGCTTATGATTACAAATATTGTAAAATTCAAAATAAATCAGTTACCTTAAAATGTTTAAATATTACAAATGAATTTATAAATAAGGTATGAAATTTTTAATTTTTAATGAATTTTATATACATATATAGTACATATATATATTATATTTTTCAATATCAATCTTTTAATTTTTGCGTTTTAATAGGTTAAAGAATATTCAATTAAATGTCGTTATAGTAATGTTAATAATATTTTGTATGGAATTTCTCAAAATCCAAATACAAAGGATTATTTTATGGTTTTCTTTAATGAACATTATTATGAAAAATGGGATGATCAATCTATTATTTCTATTATTACAAAAGAATTTTGCGTACCAGATTTAGGAAACAATTTTACAAACCGGATCAGCGAATATAGAATTAAAGAAATTCAATTAATAATGGATTCTTATGAATATATAAATTGGATACCATACAATCAATTTAATTATATTAAAGAAATAGGACAAAGAGATTTTGATAAAGTATATTCAGCAATATGGAAGAATGGTTCATTATATAATAGAGATCGAAATGAAATAATTACTTTAAAATGTTTATATAACTCACAAAGTATTACTAATGGATTTGTAAATGTGGTATGAAATTTTTTTAATTTTTTTATAAATTTGATCACTTTTTATATAATAATATTTAAAAATTATAAAATTTTATAGGTTAGGGCATATACAAATTACTGTTATTCACGTGACATTAATATATATGGGATATCTCGAAATTTATATACAAAAGATTATATTATGGTTTTCCCAAGCGGATATTTTTGTGAAAAATGTGGCGATCAATATACTAATATAGGAGATAAATGGTGTAAAACATGTTTAACAAATGATTTAAAAAATAATTTTGTAAACTGGACTAGTGGAAATAAAGAAATTGACAAGTTTATTCAAAAAATACAATTAAAAATTGATTTGAAAATCAATTTTACAAACTGGACATGTGAAGTGAAAAAATTGACAATATAATTCAAAAAATTCAATTAAAAGTCAACATAGTGTGCAATTATAGAGGGCTGACTGTATTATTAATGTTTTATAGGTAATAATAATTTACTTTCATATTCCCCATATAATTCAAATGCTTTAACCTCATCCTTTGCAGTTCCTATTCCATTTTCATAACAATATCCAAGATTATATATTGAGTAAATGTGACCTTTATCAGCAGATTCATTATATAATTCAAATGCTTTGATTTCATTTTTTTCAGTTCCTATTCCATATTGATGGCATTCTCCAAGATTATTCATTGAGTCAATATGGCCTTTACTAGCAGCTAATTTATATAATTTAAATGCTTTAATTTTGTTTATTTCAGTTCCTATTCCATGTTGATAACAATATCCAAGATCATTAATTGAATCAATATGACCTTTTTCAGCAACTTCTTGATATAATTCAAATGCTTTAATTTTACTTTTTTCAGTTCCTACACCATAATAATAACATTCCCCAAGTTGATATATGGAATCAATATGACCTTTTGCAGCTGCTTTTTTAAATAATTTAAATGCTATAATTTCATTCTTTATAGTTCCTATTCCATGTTGATAACAATATCCAAGATTACTCATTGAAATAATATGATCTTTCTCAGCAGCTTTTTTATATAATTCAAATGCTTTAATTTCATTCTTTTCAGTTCCTATTCCATGTTGATAACAATATCCAAGATCATTCATTGAAGTAATATAACCTTTATTAGAAGCTTCTTTATATAATTCAAATGCTTTAATTTCATTTTTTTCAGTTCCTATTCCATGTTGATAACAATATCCAAGATCATTCATTGAATCAATATGATTATTCTCAACAGCTTTTTTATATAATTCGAATGCTTTAATTTCGTTTTTTTTAGTTCCTATTCCATGTTGATAACAATATCCAAGATCATTCATTGAACCAACATGATTATTCTCAACAGCTTTTTTATATAATTCAAATGCTTTAATATCATTTTTATTGGTTCCTATTCCATGTTGATAACAATATCCAAGATCTTTCATTGAATCAATATGATTATTTTCAACTGCATTCTTATATAATTCAAATGCCTTAATTTCATTTGTTTCAGTTCCTATTCCATAATAATAATATTCTGCAAGATTATATATTGCATCAATATCTCCTTTTTCAGCTAACTTTTTATATAATCCAAATGCTTCATTTTCATTTTTTTCAGTTCCTATTCCATAACAATAACATTCTGCAAGTCTATATATTGCATCAATATAATCATTCTCAACTGCTTCTTTATATAATCCAAATGCTTTAATTTCATTTTTTTCAGTTCCTATTCCATGTTGATAACAATATCCAAGATCATTCATTGAATCAATATGATTATTCTCAACAGCTTTTTTATATAATTCGAATGCTTTAATTTCGTTTTTTTTAGTTCCTATTCCATGTTGATAACAATATCCAAGATCATTCATTGAACCAACATGATTATTCTCAACAGCTTTTTTATATAATTCAAATGCTTTAATATCATTTTTATTGGTTCCTATTCCATGTTGATAACAATATCCAAGATCTTTCATTGAATCAATATGATTATTTTCAACTGCATTCTTATATAATTCAAATGCCTTAATTTCATTTGTTTCAGTTCCTATTCCATAATAATAATATTCTGCAAGATTATATATTGCATCAATATCTCCTTTTTCAGCTAACTTTTTATATAATCCAAATGCTTCATTTTCATTTTTTTCAGTTCCTATTCCATAACAATAACATTCTGCAAGTCTATATATTGCATCAATATAATCATTCTCAACTGCTTCTTTATATAATCCAAATGCTTTAATTTCATTTTTTTCAGTTCCTATTCCATGTTGATAACAATATCCAAGATTATTAATTGAATCAATATATTCTTTTTCAGCTGCTTCATTATATAATTTAAATGCTTTAATTTCATTTTTTTCAATTCCTATTCCATATTGATAGCAATATCCTAAGTTACTTATTGCATTAACTTGACCCTTTTCAACTGCTTCATTGTATAATTCGAATGCTTTAATTTCATTTTTTTCAGTTCCTATCCCATGTTTATAACAATTTCCAAGATAATTCATAGAATTATTATGACCTTTTTCAGTAGCTTCTTTATATAATTCAAATGCTTTAATTTCATTTGCACTAGTTATGATTCCATAATGATAAAAAATTGCTAATAGAAAAATATTTTGTAGCTTATTCATGTTATCTAATAAATAGTTAAATATTTCTCTTTTGCTTTTATTTTTCATTATTATGTGTTGCTTAATTAGTTGAATAAAATCTTCTTTACTAATTCCTCTTTGAATAGCATTTTCATATAGTGACAATAACTCATTAATGATATTTTCATTATTTAAATCAATATTATTAATCTGCTCATTAGCTTCATTATTAAAATTTAATTGATTATTAGTAATATTATCATTACCGAGTGACTTATTGTTTTCAATAGCAATTATAGTATCGTTTTCATTGATTAATAAAGTGTTTGTGTCAATTATATTCAAATTAACTAATTTTAGATTTGACAATACTTGTTGCATATCTGGTCGATCACTTGGGTTATTTTTCCAACATTCTAAAAAAGAAAATAAATTGTGAAAATAAGTTAGAATAAATATTAGTAAATTAATATTAGTAAATCAAAACAAATATTTTATAATATACTTGTATAAATGTTAATGTAATCATTTGGCGTATTAGGAATGGGTGTCTCTCTTTTTCCCTCTGAAATTTCCAACATTAATTTTGGTTGGTGATAAAAACAATTATATGATTTAAATGGTTTTTCCCCAGATGATATCTCCCATAGAAGTACACCAACACTATACACGTCTGATTTCTCATTTGGTTTATAGTGATAACCAACTTTATTATTTTTATCTATTTGTTCTTGAAAATGTTGTGGATCAATATAAGCTATTTTTCCATATATATGATTTTGAGTTGATACTTCAGCTAATTTACGTGAAAGTCCAAAGTCTGCTAATTTTACTATATTCTGATGAATTAATATATTATCTGAATGCTATTTATTAATAAAGCAACATTAAATTAGTATATTTATATTTAAAAATAAAAATCAGAAGTTCATAGAATACTTACTAAGTCACAATGAACGATATTGTTTTGATGTATACATGAGACTGCATCAGCAATTTGAATTGCAAATTGCAATTTTACGTTCCAATCTAATTTACTGAAATTATCTTTCAAATAATTTCCTAATGTACCACTATCTGCATACTCAAGGATAAGCAAATAATTTGAAGTTGGATCTATATTATCTTCATTGTCTAAATAAAAAATGGATAAATTAATTTAAATCATTATATTTGATCTTTCAATTAAATTTGTATAATTAGTACTTACTTTCTCTTTTAGCGATACCAAAAAACCGAATAATATTTACATGAAGATTAACTTTATGCAATAATTTTATCTATACATAGAAATTTGATAAATCAGTATTACTAGCTAGTAACTGCTAACAAACATTACGACAGTACCTCATTGACAATTTCTTTTATAATAAGATTATTTCTCTCAAAAGATTTTAATGCGACAATAGTATTTGAATTTTTCCAAGTAGCTTTATATACTTTACCAAATGCTCCATGACCTATAAATCTAATATCTTTAAATTCGCTATAAACATGACAATTGATATAATCTTCAGCAACGCCACCCTCGACCCATTGAATAAATTTGTCTGTATCAATATTTTTTTTATTGGAACTGCTTGCCATTTTCTAAAATGCTTTTGGAGTTTAAAACTTGTGTATTTATATGTCGCATGAGTGACGTTACACATGAGATCCGTGCATCAATTTTAAGCTGCAACATGCATCATTACGTCAATCGCTGAAAGTGATTGTTAGAATGAGTTCACGTATATCTTTCCTTTTATTTATATTTCAGGGACCTGGGCCAGTACCTAGAAAAGGAAATAATTTTCTTGACAGAATTATAACCAGCTAAAAAATCATGAAAATCTTTCCTTTACAGATAATTCCTTGTGGAAAGCTATTACCTTTTTTGGATACTGACCAAAATTATCATAATTCCGACTTCGTAATAAAGTTTTCGCAAACTCATTTAACTCTAAGCATCTCTTTTCGGGAGCAAGTAGAACCCGAAATATATATAAAAAGGTCAAATAATCGTGTAGGTTTTTCCTTTTGTGATAAATTCTATTTAAATATTATTGCTTCATATCAGGATCATCACAATATTCTCCATCATATTCTCGAGTGTAATATAGTGTAATATATTTCATTAATCAAAGTACTTTGAAATCTTAAATCGATATCATATCGGAGCACAATAAGTCTTGATTTTTTGATTAATATCTAATTTACCACGTCTACCTTTTTAGATACTGGCTGATGCTATTATCTTATCCCAACAATCCGCAGAAAAACCTATCAATACATTGAAAGGTAATCTCAATATAATATTTTTTAGAGATGAATTATAGTATTTGAACATTTAAAAGATATCTTGTTCAATGATGCAAAATCCACTTATCTGTACGACATAAAATTTCATTCCCAAGCGCAACACAATTTTTTATCCGAGCTAAACTACCTATAAAAGCACTATGCCTAAAATAAATACACCTGCCTCTACTTCTACTACTGCTGGAAATGACTTTTTTGTAAGGAATAAGACTTGAACATTGACGATAACGACTTAAGTATTATTCGCAAAAAAGATTGACAGTCATGCTTTCCTCAAGATGCCCGAGCAGAAGCTCAGAAATTATGTATTAAGGATGGACCTGCTTTAAAGCTTGTGGATTTTGCTAAGGAAAGTAAAGAGAAAAAGTTGAGGGCCCAATAAGAATCACCGTGAAAGGAATTACCATAGATCTTCAGTTCGAAGTTGTGGGTTGATACCATGACCAAGAATAAACAAAAGGATTCAGCGGCGGGTTTAATGTAGAGCGTGCTGCAGTTCAAGAGCTCTTACCATACGATCATGAGGAAAAGGAAGGCATCTGTGGCCATGATGGGTTCGACTACCTACCATAGGTAAAATATTCTTTTTATTAGCAAATGAGGGATGTAGGCGTTACTAGCTCGTACTTTCTCTATTTCAGCCTCAGACTAATACTTCCTCATGTATGCACTGAAAGGGATTTATTGCTCGAAAGCCGACTATTACATAGTGTTTACCAAGGAAATAATGAAAGATGATGTATAACTTCATCGAAGTTATGGAGGTAATCGTTGGTTTGTTGAAGAATATGGTAGAAGTCTTGGTTCTCCAGATATTGTAAGAGGGTAAGGACAAAATTATATATTAAAGAATAATCAGCAGCCGAAAGGCTACATTGGCATAGACGTTATGTATCATGGGCAAAAGTCTCTTGTTTTGTATTTATTTTTTGCGTGTTACATAACATTTGCTACATAACATTAAACAGAGCTCAAGATTAGTATCGGGGAGTTAGAAAAAGTAAAATGGACGAGAATTTATGTTGAAAAACTTTGATAAAAGCTCGCCAAATGAGCAATTGAAAGAGAAGCAAATTAGCATAAGAAGCAAGAAATATATATACGAGTGATAGGGAATAAAAAAAATCAACTTGACTTTCAGAGTCGATTTCCGTAGTCTACTCTCATGGAATCGTTCGTTCCACTTGAGGGCTCGAAAATGGTTCCAACGTTCTGCTCCAAAACCGATTTGAGTCACTCCATTTTGAACTTTTTCCATCGTAACGCAGTGTCCTGTAATCGGACTGATATTACAGTGATGGACTAGTGGACTAATGGATTATTGGACTTATACCGCTTTAAAATTTAATCTTATTTACATTTCTAATTTTTCGTTAAAAACTATACTGTGTCAGATATTTAAAATCAAGCAAAATTATGATTTTTGTTAAGAAAATTTTTCTCCATTTTTCCATTTTCAAGAGCCGATAACATTAAAGTCATTAAGTAATTAAAATTTTATTGGCTTCAAAATTTTAAATTAAGTAAAAATCTTTCTTGAATTCAAAAATAATGACACATAATAATCTTATATGGGTTAATGCTGGATATAAATTAATTAGCACATTTTTTCACCATCATACTATGAGTTTTTGTATAACTATTTAATATATCATGTTTGATCTATTTATTAATACATATGTTAATAATAGAATTTTATGATATAGGAGAATCAGTTGAATAAAAAAAACTTTTTGTTTTTAAGGAAAAATAAAATACACTTAGTATTTCATAAAAAGGGAGAATTTTTTTAATTTTTATTTATATTTTACTGAAAATAATTATCAAAATATGAACTTTTTTATGACATTTATAAATATATAGCTCAACCATAAACCAATTTTTTAATACTAAAGTTAATCAAATTCCTACCATGAATATAGTTATTAATAATATTATTAATGGGACTATTAATAAAGGAATTCAGAACAACGTGAAGAACAGGATAGTTAATTATTTAAATAAAGCCATCTAGGAGTCATCTATGATGGAGTTATTTCATCTCAAAAGTTCTTAGTGTTATTGCTTTAAGATGTAAAATATGGAATTGTTCTATAATTATTTGAAATTAGTCAAATATTTTCATTTCTTCCGTACCTTGGTCAATTAAAAAAGGAGCGTATTTAATTGTCCCTACTAAGATAGCTCATGGAGATCTTTTAACCTAGAACTCTTCTTCTTTTTCACCTAATTTTTCCAAATTAATAGATTTTTCATCTACATTTTAACCATCTATAATGTGAAAAAACCAAATGGAAATGACTTTTTTAGTATTTATATATTTTTTTCCGTTTTTATTTGTTTACAATGAAAAAATATATATATTATCATTAAGCCCTAAATGGAAAAAAATTGATTTTTAACTATATTTTGTTATTAAACAAAATTTTGAGAAAGTATTGTATGATATTGCATCAATGCATCATGTTATTGCTCGATATTATCAATTATTTTCGCAATGAAAAAAGTAGCATTCACGTGATATATGCATATTCAACCCGGAGTGATGTTAGGCCCAAAGTCACGTGATTGTATCTTTTTTTTTATTTCTATTAGGAACGTATTTCAATATTTATAATTCCATATTTTCGTTATCGAGGTGATACAGTAATTATTACCCTTTTGCCCTGAACAATACAGAAAATACTAACGAGTACGATCATCAAAAAATTCAATATACCGTATTTTGCGGGCCACAGTACCCCCCCGTACAGTACTCTATATACAACTCCCATTTTCTACCGATTTTATTATTTAAAATAATTTAATAAATACCTAGGTATTACGCATGATAAATACCCAATTATTAAATAAGTTTTATACATATCTACTAATAAATCTACATCATACGCGGGGTACTGCGGCCCCGTTATACGGTACTGTATTTAATGCTATAGGTGTCGTCACGGGTACGGTACGCACATCTGCGAAATTTGATTAAGCTTATTCCGTAATGCTGCAATGCTGTAATTTTTTTTACGGTCATGGCATTTTGAATAATTTCGGCATATACCGTAACTCCGACACCGTAATTACTGCCGTAATTCAAGAATTTCAACAGCATCTATATACTGTATTTATGTTATATTGTTATACACAAGTTACTGTGATGCTTTTAATTTATTTACGTGATATTACTACAAATTCCGTTGTTTTTTAAAAAAAAAAAAATTATAATGAACAAAGTCAAAATCATTTTATTAAATATAAAATTACATTTTTTTTTTTTTACAATAATCTATAAAATTCAAATACGTGATTCACGTTTTTTGCGTTATTTTTTTTTTTACAATAATCTATCTATGATTCATTTACGTTAAATTTTTTTACTTTCTTTTTTTTTTTATTACTATTTTTATTTTTGAATAATTTCATAATTTTTAAGATCAGGATTCCAAATATCAAATTCCCTTCTAAACATAGCAAAGGTAGCATCAACTAATAAAATGATATTACCAATAGTATAAACTAAAGTGATAGCGTAAAAAAAATTAGCGTTCCCGCTACCTGCGTATATCCATAAATGATAAAATATTGGTGATAATATTGAACAGTAACAAAATATATTAGTTGTTAAAAAATTATATCGCATATCTAAAAAAAAAAAGAAAAGGGAGAAACATTGGATGTTAAGTATTAATTTAAAGTGACTGTAGAATTAAAATTCTACTATTCATCATATGAATAAAACAAGAAATAAATCAATAATTACATTTTATTATTTCCGAATAAATTGGAAGAAATGCCAAATAAAGAGAAGCATCTCCAATTGATGGATATGATTTAAATATTGCCATTATCCCGCTCAATATAAAAATTGAAAATAACGGATGTTTTCTAAAAAAAAATGATTTAGTATAATTATAATAAAAAATATTTAATATAATAATTATAACTTACCTAAATTTTGTTGAAACTGGTACCATAAATACGAACGCGTGTAATTGAAAAACCACCAAAAAGAAACTTCTAAATTGATCAAACATTTCGATAAAAAAATACCAAAATAATCCAATATTTGGCGTTAAATCTGGCAATAAGAGTCTTCAAAAAAATAAAAAAATTTTTTTTTGACACGAGTTAGTAAATATTCAATTAATAACGGAAGAAATTATCAAAAAAAGTTCTTACATGACGCCATACGTAGCACCTAAAAAGTCCCAAGAACCAACTAGAAAATATGAAAATATTAATAATCCACTTAACCATACAACAAATAATCCAACACATCCAATAATTTCGCTCTGTAAAATAAAAATAAATAATGAGTAAATAAAAATAAAGTAAAATAAATATTTCATTGTTGATATTACAACAATTCATACTTTAATAATTTTCCCACTTGATTCAACGTTATTTGTGAAAATTAGTATTAAAGGTAAAAACAACATAAATGGATAAAAGCTCAAATATGTTGCCATTGCGATCCAAAACATTCCATAACTCTTATTATCTATAAAATCAAATAAAATTCGTTAAAATAGGGTTTGAACGAATGATATATAATATATTAATTATTTACAAACGTTTGAGCGAATAATAAATTCCAAGAATTATCGATAAATTAGTAAATATAATCGTAGATTTTGAAAGGCATGATGCGATTGTCAATGGATTAAATAAATAACTAGAAAATAATTTTTTTTAAATGAAAGGATAATAATATCATTTTTAAATAAATCATAAATATATATAATATTTTTTCAGGATACAATCCAGTAACAACCCATGGATCAATTTCTTTCGGTACATTATCTTTTAATTCAATCTCAAGTTTAGGAAAATTATAATAAAGTTGTTGTTTTATTCCAGCGATATTCATCAAACAATAAGCTAAAATGAGATCCATCAATACAAACGTTAATTTTGTAAAAATAACTGGTAAATAACCAAGTAATTGGAAAAATGCAAGTAATAATGGAGCCTTAAATAAAAATTAAGTTAATTTTAAATTTTGTAAATCTTTCTTATAAAAATTAACAAAACAACGATGACATACTTGATGAAAGGCACCACCATCATATGGCGGAACCCCATTTTCAAATAAATAAAGTCCTTCAGTAACTATTAATAAAATAAATAAATAATTAATTAATTAATTTCAAATAAATAAATAAATAAATACGAAAAATACATACGTCGAGTAAAACTCGTTACGGGGGTTACAATTTCTACTCGACTTCCTAAAGTTTCTGTTATACTTGAAGATTGAAAAAGAATTAACCGAATCGTAAAAGCGGCACCAAATATAAGGACACCGGTAAATTTGTTTTTCGTCGACATTTTCTTCGATAAAAAAAATCGTGAATCAAAATAAATTACACATTTAATAATTGTTTGTGTTAATTCAATTTATCAATAGTTTAAAATAGTTTTTAAAAATGTTAATCAAAAAAATCTGTTTTTTTATTTAAAAGATTTATTAAATTCTAAAACTATTTACAATTTACAATTTAAAAGAAAAAAAATTTTCGTAATTTTTTTTTTTTTTGAAAAGGGGTATTTATAGACATAACAATGATCAACAGTCATGTGATCGACCACGAAGCTTACTAATAATCGTATTACACAATTGTCATAGAATTATAGAATTGTATGACTTATAAAAATAAATGCTTAAAAATTCTATTTCATACATTCTTCCCAATTAACATCAGTATTTGAAGAAGGTAGTTCTAAATCTATATCAATACTAGAATTATCATCAGAAATTTCCGAAACAGAATTATTTGGAATATAATTTAATGCATCAATCACATCGCTAGTTAAATTTGAATTTACATTTGTGATTTCGCTAATAGTTTCATCGCTAATAACGCTATTAGTAATATTATTAATATTACTTTGTTGTTCTATTTCTATTAATAATAAAGAATTATTGTTTTCAAGATTGGATTCAGTCAAAGTTGCGTTAAATTTTGATGATCGTAAATCATAATTACTACTATATTCACTTATGCTACTACTCGCCATTGAATCTAATAATTGACCTTGATTAATATGTATTTTGTAAAAGACCAATTTCTTTATGATAAAGCCAATAAATATTACGGCAATTAATATCGCTATTATCATACTGGCTATAAATGATTTATGATACGGATTACTTCCTGAGAATATACTTGATATATTTGAATTATTTGAACCTCCAGGATTTATTGTAGAAGTTGGAGTAGATAATATTTTAGTGGTAGTATATGTTTGTATATTTGAAGGAATGGAAGAATTAATTTTTTCTTCCCTTTTTACAATCAAAGAAAAACGTTTTTCTTTATCATTTTCATTTTTTGGTCTATTACTATCTTCTATACAAGCTTTTTTAATATACATTATATATTTTTTTGATTTTATTTATAGTTATTTTTTTTTTTAACGACAGTTCTTGCACTTGCAGTAGAAGAGTGACGGTATTTTGAAATTACTTATGAGCCCGATATTTATATTATAATTATATAATGATGAGTGATCCATTTATTTGTGTCACACGAATTTTTAATTATGCGGATACTACCAATTAATTATTTTTTAAACGTATATTCGGTTAGTAGGTTAGTTGGTAAATGTAAATAAAGGGTAAATATTTATGAACGTGGAAAGGAATATGGAATACATACGTTATGAATGAATTTCTTTGATAAAGATATTAAAATTATTTGTAACTCAATGTCTGATTTACGGTATTTTACAGGATAAATAAATTTATAATACGTATGTATAATCTTACCTAATAATAATGCTTCTTTAGAAGTAAAACATTAAAATTAAATTTTGGTTTCATTTTTTTTTTTTAAAAAAGAAAAATATATTAATTAATGTTAATTAGCATTAATGAAAATTCATTAATTAATATATATGAAACAAAGCTCTTTAATATATATGATCCTTGTAATTCTTGTAATTTTATAAAAAAAAAAAAATAAATAAATATTTTACTAATTTTTTTTTTTACAGTTTAACGGAATTTTATGATGAACAATCTTCGTTCAAACAACGCCCAAAAAAAACATCCTTCCAAAAATATATATGTATATAGTGTATATATATGCACGTGTATGCATAAAGCGTTATAATAAAAAAGAAAAGAAGAAATAAAAGGAATAATTCTTATTTTCCTTTTATATACATTCACTTAATTTTTCTGCATTAATTTATTACACAAATGAATATGCACTGCATGTATCATAAATTACAGTACACCCAATATTTGTTTATTTTATTATAGACGCAATTTTTTTGCAAGAAATTTTTTATTTTATTTTTTTTTTTCAAAAAGTGAAGATAATAAAAATTTTTTCGATTTCGATATATTTTGTAGAAATTTTTTTTTTTAATTTGAGACGATCAAAGTAGTAGTTGTTAAATCGATTATAATGTCAGCCAACATTATCGTCATTTGGGTATTCTTAAAGCTGGTCAGAATTAATCACATTAGCTGGGATCGACCGGATTAATAATAATAAAAATAATTAAACAAGGAAATGCTCAACGCACGCTTATCGTCAATACATAAACAACATTAAATATAACAATTATGCTTTGCGTTTACTACGTAGAATGTATAGAATATGTAAACAAATAAACAAACTAAATTCATAAAACTTAATAAAAAAAAAAAAATTTTACAATAATAAAGCACCAATCAACTCAAAAATGACGGAATTTTGTAAATCGGATTAAACCATGTTAATTGTAAACGATTTTTATTATAACTTTCACGCGCTGGAATGAGTTTAAGTTACGTTACACATAAATCGCATGATACAATGTTACGATGATACGATGATACGAAGTATGTCTGGTGACTAGACTAATTCACGCGGTGAAATTGACAACTCTGATTAAAATTATATTTCTAGTATTTTTAATTGTCAAAAAAAAAAAGACTAGTTAATATCATAATTAATAACATTACATATCTGATATAAGATTACCTGACCAATTTTATTTTATGTTTCCTTAAATGAGTCATTTATGGGATCAGAACGTGAACTTTACTTTTAATATATTGTAATGTATGAAAAAATATTTCTTGCCCGTTGTGTAAGAATATTTTTATATTTAACGTATGTTGATTTTTTTGATATTATCTCAAAGAGGCTGAAAACTAAAAATGCAGGTACAATCGTACGTAGATTTATCGTCGTACTAGTCGTACTAGATAAGAAAGAAATTGATATTCTTACTATCTTTTTGGAATAATGTGAAATAGACAAATATTAAATACGGTAATCGAAGTTAATTATTACTTTAAAAAGACAATAAATTTTTGGTTAACACAAAATTGTATTCAACTAATTTCAATTTCGCTTTGTCTTATTTATTGAGAAGTGCTAGTTTATTAATATATTTAGATAAAATATATTCGGAAGGGTATTTTTTTCACATTCTTTTTTTAAAATCCGTAACCATTAATAATTATGTCAGAATATGGTGATTTTGATGGACTGACATTTTTTGCCAATGGCTAAATATTAATAATATATTTGCAATCATATAGGCTATAAGAATTTTTAATTCCGAAGTGTAACGAATGCTATATACAGTAATTCTACGCAAAGGTGATATCTGATAGGATGTCCACCGGCACGTGATGATGTAAAGGTGATCGCAAAAATTTATTAATTACATATTGATCGTTACGCCCATTTGTGTTTCGTAAATTACCATTCTTTGATGTGGACGTTTGTTATCATATCATAATCATAACTTCCAGATTTCTTTGTTACTTTACTTCCACGTAATGATACTCGGATTTATCCGGATTGATCCGCTTTCATCCGGTTCATAAACCGAATGAAAAATATCCGGCTTGAACCGAAACCCGGATGGATTTTTTCTCAAATAAAACGCCTTAATACAATACATGAACCAAAACTATTTTTTGATTTGTTGATTTGTTACTATAAATTATAATTTTAAACAAATTTATATTCTAATATATTTTTAACGTGTTTCGCCACACTTCTTTGAATTTTTAATAAGTAAAAACTGTAAAAATAATACATTGAGATTCAACTTAATTTTTTGTTTAATGTCCAGATTTTTTAGAAAAATCTAGGTATGTCCAAATATGATTTTTTAAAATATTTATTGGTAATTTTTTTTTTAAAAAAAAATGTTGAAATTTAATAATTCAGATCAATGAATAATTAGAAATTATCAAACTAACTGGCCGATTTTGATTTTTAAAATAAATTAGTCAAATCGACTTAAACTGTATTTATTGTAAATGCTTTTTATCCAATGAGGCAATAAGATCCCTCATCCTCCTCTAGCTTTAAAAAAATGAATTTCGATAAAAATTAGAATCGGAAAAAAATATCATAAATTTTTACGTAAAAGATTTTTTTAGTTTATCCTTAAACTAATTCTAATTCTAATCCTAAGAGACTCTCTATCATACATTTACTTTAAAAACTTTTTAAGAACGAGTGAGATACGTTAAATAAACAGTTAGGTTAAAAACAGTTAAGTTGGAACTATAAAATTGTTTTTAAAAAAAGTAATGTCAATAAATTGCTGTTATTTCATAGCTAATATTTATTCTTAAATTATTTTTAGTATTTTTTGCAGATTTCAATGATTATTTTTGGGAAGTTTTCTATTAATAAACATTTTGAAATGCTATACGAATTTATTATAGACTATCATCATTTAGTCCGCAGTCAAAAAATTTTTATGTGTAAACCCAATCCGGATATAATCCTTTTGTACTGTATAATCCGGATAATGGTTTTCATTTCATCCAGATCGAAGCACTACTTTTTTGAGATTGTTCATATTATCTTGCGTTTTGACAATATTTACGGTAATTAATGCAACGATCCTTATAGTGTTTTATAAACAGATATTTTCGCCATACCTTATGTATAAATTATCCAACAACATTAGATGGTTAAATATTAATGTTGTGCCTCAGATCAGTCTGCGGAAGATCAACCCAGATCACGTGCATTCCATATTTGGTAGCGTTAATCTGCAACATTAATATAGAATAATATGCCAGAAAAAAAAACTCTCTCCCCTTTCCGTCAGATTTTATAAAATTCCGCAGTAAAACAAATTTTTATTTTATTTTTTAACCTTTATTGTTAGTAAACAAGGAGAGAGGACCACTTGGTGGCCTCGACGGAAAGTTCTCCTTAATATACCCTGTTGCTTTTAGAGAGTATTTTATAATAGTATACCAAATAGTTTTATTATTATGACACCTTTGAATATTTTACCTTCCTTTGGGAAAATAAACCCCTCTGACGCTTCTGTTTCTAAATCGCACGTGACCGTTCTTGATAAGGATGGTTACAACAAGAAATCTTTACACAAAATACGTAATATTTTTGCTTATTCGTTTCAAACTCACAAGCTCAATCCATATATAGTTAGCGATACACGAGGTAGTGGTACCTTGTATAACACCAAAAAAAGTAGATACTTCCTTATGGAGTTACACCCAAATGCTGATCTTTGTTTAACAAAGAAAAATTCTTTCAACGTCTACACCAATGATATTGATATGCTTAATGATCATCAGAGGATCTTCAACTCAACTAGTAAAAAGATCAATCTTAATTACTTAATAGGGACATATCTTGCATTTATATTTTCTATCAACAGACAATTTTCACCTGATATTGTGAAAAAGTATTTTAAACGTTTACGCCAACTATTAATAGAAAAATTAATAGCGATTAAAAATAGACTTTCTTATTCGGCTAAAAATAGACAAACCAAAACTTATATCCGGTTTAGTTCTGGAACTCACATGATCTATCTTGGATTTTATTTTCGCTGTAGTAATACTTGTACCCAACCAGCGGCATTTGTACTTCCAAATAATCAATGGCAATGCAATCAACATTTTACTCCTGTACCGGGGTTTAGATCAAATACCACACAACGGAGAGGAGAAGATTACAAAAATGTTAATTTTAATCCATGGAAAGAAGTTCACTCAACACGTTTAGGTTTAAAATATAATGTAATTATTAAACGTTATAATGAATGGAAAGGAAAGAACAATTCCGATTTAAAAGAGGTGATGGAACCTATCACAACTAATCGTAAAGGTAAATCTACAACAAGACCTTTTTACAAAGAATACAAAAATGTTGAGTTTTACGATAAAAGAACACCACAACAAGTCAAAAGATGGAATCGTTTAAAAGAATCGATCATCAAACATGAAGAATACTTATATCATAGTAAACCCTTTCTATTAAAAGAAAATTCTACAGTATTTAAAAAAGTATCTCATCTTGTGGAACGGGATCTCTCATATGAGAAATCTGAGGAGGATAAAGTATTGGATCAACTTACCCGGAAACGTGCCAAGAATTGGCGACGACGCGTTAATAATCGTAATAAACTCAAG